AAAACCTCTATTACACTCCCAGCTATTAAGAGCCTTGCGAACTAACCAGTCTACTACTTGATTTGCTTTTTGATACGCATATTTGAATTTGATATTCAAATTGAAAAAATCAATTAGATCCCGACATTCTTTGATGACATTTTCCGATCTCCACGGAGGCGATACTCTGATCTTCCGTCTCTTGCATATTGGACCGACGACCTCATTTACTAATCACTCAAACTGTCCTCCAGCAGGGAAGTCAGGTGATTTATTCATCATCAAGAAGTCGATTATACCAAACACCACCTTAGTGAGATATTACTATCGGTGCTCTTAATTTATGTGCAAAATTAAATTTATGACAGTTGGACCACAAAACTCATGCTCTAATGGGGCTTCAAAGGAAATCAAGATATGGAGTGTGATAAGGAAAGATGTCTTTTGAAACAAGTGTAATATTTTGCGGGTAAAGCATTTTTTTTTTTTTTGACGAACGGACCAGGGGAGACGGTTGAAATGGTAAACTGACAAGCACCAACCTTTTGTTATATATCCGAATAATGAATTGATTATTCTCCCCTTAAAAAAAAGCATTGGCTTTGGTCAATATCTGTTCGAACCATGAACTGGTTGAACCGGTGTAGATAGTCATTTAATTATTTTATTTTATATATCCTTTCTTGTTCCTTATCCTTTTCCTAGGAAATGTATCTACTTTATATTCAGTTTGGAAAGAGTACAAATGCAAATATATATAAAACAATATAAAATATGAGGTTTTGCACTTGAAGATGTATGATCTGGCTGTTCCCTGTTGGAGGGCAGCTTGGATGTCGAACTAGCGAGTTCTTTGCTAGAAGGTGGCTTAAATGCCTAGCTGAACAATTCCTAGATGGAAGGTGGCTTGGATGCCGAGTTGTATAGTTTACTAGGGCGACCTGCAAGGAAACAATGTCAAAGTGCCCGATTTGCTTTACCTAGGGTGGGCACTCCGACACTTAAGTTAGCGAGCTGGAGATTTTTGAGAGAGCTAAAAGCGAGAAAGATAGAGAGATGCGAGAGCTAAATTGCACATATCTTCTGAGGTTGGAGGTAAGGCCCTTATATAGGCATTGTTTGGCATGGGCTTCACACAACGCATCCGAGATCTCTGGAAAGACATGCCTAACCAGTCCGAAGTCCTTGGAGGGAGCCAACTTTTGAGAACATTCGATCTTTACGCCTTATTTGATTTCCTCTAGAACATTCAGTGTGGGAGCTAACTTCTAAGAGACTTGGGAGTGACGGGATGCATGCAGAATTAGTCAGCGAACATGTCTTGTAGGTCGCCACGCAGACCTCAATCAGGTTGGCAAGCCCTCAAGGGAGGTCACTCCTCACGTCGAAGTCACTTTAGCGGATACTAACGAGGTACCACAAGTCAGCTCTGGACGAAGTGTTGTTATTTGCCCTGAGTTATTGACGATGTCACCAGTTAGGTTTCCATTAGGTTGGCAACGGCAAGTCACCAGGTTAGCAGCAGAGGCAGGTCTTTAAAGGTAGGTCGCCAATTGGGACTCCATCATTTTGGTTAAGGCAAGTCATCGCCTAGGTGGTGCCAGAGTGACATATAGTTGTTCTGAGATGCCAAGTGTCATGATGTTAGTGGAGGGTTAAATATGCCCTCATCAATTGCCCCCCACTCCTAAGCTAAGGCCAACTCGGCAAAGCGAGTAGCTTGTTGTAGATCCTTTGGCCCAGAATGACTAGTTTGATGACCTCATAAGCATCGGCCCAGGTGGCCAAAGCGGTTATAATTCCAACTGTCAAAATGATGCTGAGCTGGATAGATGGGGACTAACCTGCATAGGTCGGCCTACCTGTTACCAATACATTTCGAGGTCAGCTTAGGGGCCTTGACGCTAACAATGGTTTGGTTTCCCCTTGTGATACATGTGTCACTGTTGGCATTTGAATAGTAAGCCGGTGCCACGGCTGCACTGCATCAGCCATCGGAGGTGCTAGTCATCTAATTCTAGATGGAATTTTTTAACCAAAGGCTGTGTTTGGAAACAATGCAAATGGAGTGTAAATCTTGGTTCAGGGTAAATTTGCACTCTAGTTCACTTTTGCATGTGTTTGGCAACATTACATTTATGCATTGACAAATCAAAGACCAATGCATATTTACATTGATAATAAGATGTAAAAATACATCAATAAAAAAGAAGTAATTTTACATTCGAGTGGGCTTTTGATAAAAAAAGCATATGCTTTATTCAAATTTATGTTTGCATCCATTACGTTTAAAAGTCTATTTGGTAAGAAGATAAATTTGTCACCTAAATTTGGAAGTAGTAGAAATGCAAATATGTACAACATAAATACATACAAAATAATATAAAATATAAGATTTTGCACTCTACATATTTGCCTTTGTACTCCTTCCAAACTCAGCCTTATATGAACTGTTTTACCCTTTACACATTTGTATTCACACTTATTTGTATCATTTAGGAACACAGCCAAGGCGAGATTCTCAAAAGTGAAGAACTTTCATTTCTAAAAATCATGATTGTCTATTTTCGCATTTCTCGCTATGTGACTTTAAAGTAATGAACACATGTAACTTGGTAACATATGAAAGCAAGGGTAAAAGTGCAATTTCCTATTTATGGTAATCCGATTCGGTCAAAAGCCCTAAGACCCCTTTCTTTTTCCTGTTTCTACTTCTTACAACATCGATACAGTTCGAGGTTCACCAGAGATTATTGTCATGACCCGTGAAAACCAGTTTGGATGAGGTAGGTATGAGGTAGGTATGAAGTTGTAAGTAAGTTAAATGAGCACTTACAAATTTTTTCCTATCCTTGAAAAATATTAATACCCATTTTAACAATTGTTGAAATATTTATCAAGTACTCCTTTAACATGTTTATCAAGTTAAATGAGCACTTTCTAGTGAAGCTAGTTTTAGTTACTTCTTCAATTCAACCAATGTTATTCAATAAAAGTTGAAGTCCTCCAAAGACCGAGCTCTTTTGTAAAATTGAGAGAGTTTTCATGTAGTTGGTTCTAGATTATGTTTAAAATTTTGACATGATACGCCCGATATGGGGTGTATTTTATTGTGTCTTTAAAGGTTCGATATCAGATACAGTGGAAAATATATAGTTGGTATCATTTTTTTCTATTGTATCTGTCTGTATGGGCCTTGTATTGGTTGCATATTGGGCGTATCAATAGCATATTAATTGATATGTTATGAAAAAGATACAAAAACAAAACAAAAAAAAGAATAAAGAGGGAAAATAAGGCTTCTTTCCTCCAAAATAAACATTCTTTCATCCCAAACAACTTTAAAACTCCAAACCTCATTCCTTAAGTGTTAGAAGTGCAAAACAAAATGTATGAAACTAGTGTGAATTTTAAAGCCTTTTAAATATTTTTCAAATTTTGAAAATATTGCAAAAATAGATAAAGTTTTTCAAACTTTTTCATAAGATATTGTGATTTATTTTTCTTTTGTTTGAATAATTGAAAATGGTTAAATTTATGTTGATGTACATTTCTTGTGTTGGAAATCACTTTTTTTTCACTTTTCTAGTCAAACTACTTTTAATAGCTTCTTCAAAGTAGTTCAGTGGAAGCAACTCAATCAAAACTGAAGCCTTCCCAAACGCCCCCTAAGATATTTTACACAGTGAGTTCTACTTTATGAAGTTGGTCCATATCAGCTTCTCTAAGTCATGTTTGGTGAAATCAATGGAGATCCAAAAATGACTGTTTGCTGAAGCTTTTATTAGTGGCTTCTCCAAAGGCCGTGGGACATGGAATTTGGATGGATTTGTACTGGGAACATCTCTTGTGCTTGTCATGGAATAGAATTCAAATTTCCGCCCCACAAGCGGCTGCCCCACAACGTCCCACAGCATATCCTCACCGTGTATCGGAAGATGTTCCCAATACACGGCGGGGATGTATTATGGGACGTTGTGGAGCGGAGATGTGAACTCCATGGAGTGGGAGATGCATGGGACAAACAGGATTTTTTGCCCACCACTACCTACCCACACTCTACCCAAAGTGAATTGCAGCCACACATCGCCATCTTGGTTTCATCCGAGATTTGGTGCGAGAACAAATGTGCAAACCTTAGTGACTAAACGATTACAAGTGAACACGCCAGTGTTTCATACTCATGGGCTCCACATGTGAGTCATCCCAAATGGTGTCTATCTGTCGCCATTGGAAAGGTCCATGGATAGACCAAGCGTCCATGGACCATATTTCCACTCATGGCCGGTCTCTTCTTTGATATCCGACCGGTCTTCCCCCGAGTCGTCTGCAAATATTTCCAAGTCAACACCGCAGTTGCACTTCACATTCCTCTTTTGTTGTTTAATTTATTGTTGGATATAGATAGACTACCATGAAATTAAGAAAATAAGAGATATAAATTCTGCTTTCTTGCTTTTATTGAAATTGAGGGGCTGACTCTGCTGAGACGAAATGTCCGAAAATGAAAGTTTTAACTTTTAACTAGCGACCCCTCACAAGTTGAATATTCTATGAGACAGACCGACCGACCCAAAGGGATTCCGTCCGCTTAATTATACATCTCCAGATCTCCTTGTATTAGCTCAAACATGGCGATACCAGAACGTGGCTTGTCTGCAATTCCTCATCCAAAATAAACGCTACGTTTCTTTTCCGAACATGGATAAAAATGAGTCCATTGATTTCTCATCCGACTGCACGTCGGGACCATGATGACGGAGAAAGGGGACGAAAAATATAAAAAAAAAAAAGAAAAGGAGAACTGCTGACGTTACGACTGTGATGCAAACATCCTTACGTTGCTTTTTGCATCTATCAAGCTATCATGATTCTTCTTCACAGATTGTATTGAACACTTTTTCGTCTACCTGTAATGGGCTCTATTTTCTTCTCGTTCGGACTTGACCCAGATAGGGAGAGAAAGACTCGGTCGTCTTTATCAAGACATCTTAAATAAAGGATTCTCTCTCAGTGTTTGTTTTCCTTTTAATAGTCTCTCTATTGCCGGTTCAAAAACCATGGATGCACAACAAAACATCTCCACTGGAGAAAAGGTAGATTATATTGTATTGGTTTTATATATATCCCATCTCCTTGGTTTGATTAAGGCAGAAAGATTAATGGGAATTTGTATAAGATAAGGAGATCATTTATGTTGTATGTTATTTCTTTCTTCAGGTGCAAGAGCTAGAAGCGGAGGTAGAGCGTCTTAGGAAAGAGAACGAAAATCTCAGCTTGTTGTTTGGTGTCATACACAGCAACTACAACAGCCTCAAATCCCAACTGCAACTGAGGCAGATACAAGAAAGGGGTGGCCTGTTTGCCTGCACAGAGAGTTGCTCAAGCCAGGAGTCAAACAAGAGAGCAAAGATTGAATTCCCTAAAGAAAAGACGTCACAGGTCTTGTTTAGGACTGATTCTACAGATACTAGCTTAGTAAGTTTCATCAAAAGTTCTTCATCTTTTAATTTCTGTTTTTTCTTTCTTTTTGGGTAATCTAAGCAAGAGTTCCCCATCTATAGCTGGTGAATACTTCTCAGATTTCTATGAAAAAACTATGTTAATCTCTTGCTGTTTTAGGTAGTGAAAGATGGATACCAATGGAGAAAATATGGACAGAAGATCACCAAGGATAACCCATCACCTAGAGCTTATTTCAGATGCTTTATGTCTCCAAGATGCCCTGTCAAGAAGAAGGTAATACTGTAATACTTTAACCAACCCAACTACCCTTTTAATTAATCCTTTACAATATTAAAATTTTTAATGATTGTATTTAAAAATGAAAAAAAAAATCCCTCCAACATGAGAAGCAATTTCCTGGAAGTTACCAATTCCTTTATTACTTTTAAGTGAATATATAGGTTATGTTGATAACGACTAAGGTATTGATTCTTTTAAAAGGAGTCCCCAGAAGATATTGACTAAAAATGACTTATGGAATAGTAAATTTATAAAGAAAAATTTAGTTTCTAATGGAAGCTACTCTTTTTTTTTTTTTTTTTCTTTTGGGTTCTAGGTGCAGAGATGCTTGTTGGATAGGTCACTTCTTGTCGCGACTTATGAAGGAGAACACAACCATGAACCAGATGCACGCCACGTTTCACCATCTCTAACAAATGGTTTAGTCATGGCGTCAACCACCAGCTCCTATTCTCCCACAGTTAATCCTTTTGCACCAAATATAACCCTTGATCTAACTCTTTCTGGGACCAATCAAGAGATGAAAGAGCCCTCTCAGAGATTCGTAGAAGACAGCAAAAACAGGATTGAAGATTATGTAACTTCCTTACGAAGGATCCAAACTTCACTGCGGCCTTAGCCGCTGCAGTTGCACGCTCAGTCACTCAATTTCCTCTTTAAATTATGTGTTTTTATGTTGTTCAATGGTCCCTTTTTTTACAGTGGATGTCAAACACGTCACCCCACCCCATGGGAGACGGTGGCCTTGTTATCCACCGTTAAAGGGTTGTTTAATTCCTCCTCTTTAAAAGGATCAGAAGTTTTTTCAATTTTCATATGTTGAACAGTTGAAGTTGATGTAACAAAACAATTATAAGTATAAAAATTTAAAGAGCATCTTGAAATTTCCCGTTACTACCTTGGGTTATAATTTATTTATTTGTTTGTGGTAGGATATTTCTAACGAGGTTTAGAAATATCTAATACAAGAATTACTTATATTTGCACTCTTCCCAAATTGATCCTTTTGTCTTCATTTTCGTTGTTTTCCTTTCTTGTTTGTTGTTATAATTCAAATGTTCAACCTACTAGGGTGAGCATGTAGTAATTCAAATGGATCGAATCGAATCGGATATAGATAAATTCAAATTTGATTTGTTTATATTTGAAATCAAAGCAGGATTATATCCATTGGATTTGAATCGAATACATATATTGAATAGTGTTAATGAATTAAACTAAAAATGTCCAAAATATCATATATTATTATTAATATGAACTAAAATGACATTAATATTGTACCTCATGAATAGAAAGAATCAAAAATAATATTCATGAAACTTGAACCTATGATAATTAAGTAAAAACACAACATAAAATTTGTATTTCAGACCAACTTTAGGAATAGATGCAACATAAATTTTAAGTATATGCAATATTTAAGTGGAATCGAATCAGATAGGTTGGATAGGGATGGCTTCATGGATCAAATTCAGATAAACATATGTCGTTTGCATCCCTATGTGCCTTCTTTAGGGATCAATCGAACATTCGATTCTATCTGAACTATTCATATTCAAATGATATTCACATTGTTTAGAAATATTCATTGTTGACATCAAAAGTTTCTTATAATTTAATTCATAACAATTTTTGCTTTGAACCCATATAATCCTAACCTGACTCAACCCATTTAACCTTAATTATTTTTTGATTGAATTGGGGTAGGATTCCTTGGTTCAACAACCCCGGGTTGAAGATTATGCTCAACTCTGCACTCTGGATTGGGCTAGGGTTTACCTCGGCTTTACCCAATTCGGCCCTATTTGCACACCTAATTTGGAAACTAATATCTATTCAGTAAAGGTCTTTTAGAGGTACCTATGCAAACGAAGACTTCATTTTCTCATTGTTTATATGGAACTTAATAGATGCATGTAGTTTATATCTCCATTATCTGACTAATTGTGCTTATAAAGAGAAATATCATAGACACTAACATTTATAAATCTAGTCACTACTTTGAAAATGTACCAGGGAGAGGGTGTTTATAAAGAGGGAAGGGAAGGAAAGAAACCAAGATTCTCTTGATGCTCGGTGTGTATGTATCACATGTTCCGTCAGAATGCCAAGCTTCAAATGCTTGACATCACAAGGAATACTTATGATAAAGTATTCAACAAATCAGATTTTCCATGATCAGATCCAAGTGTGCTATTAATATTTTCAGCGAGTAATTTTGTTGATATAAAATTTTAATATGTAATTTTTTATAACATTTTTTTTGGGAGAATGATGGTTCAGCCCAGTGTCAGAATTCTTAAGCCAAAAATATAATTGGGGTAGGTGACAGCTCTGAATTGATACAAATTCACATTCACAGGGGGTGTATTTGACATTTTGAATTTTTGTAAGTCTGCAATGGAATTCAGAATTCCACAGTGAACTGCAGCATACTTTTTCGGTTTTTTTTCCTTTTTTTAGCTTATGACACCGTTACTCACAGGTGATATAGATTTAAGGACATCTTTGTTGACTGCAGATTCTTGTTTGATTTGATCCTATTATTTGTAGGGTTGAACATGGGTCTCAAATGTTTAGATTATTTAATCTTATCTGCACCTTATCACCGCTATTCTTTTAATTAAATCAGATCTGAGTAACCCTAATTTGATCCACTCATTGACAATCTTATGCCATTTCTCTAATGCTTTCAGTTATATATTTGTGTTTAACTGGATGTTGCCCATTCTTTGAAATCGGTGAATAAAAAGGAAAATCATTGAAGTGAACATTCATACTTTGCTTTTGAAGACAAAAATGTTATAATGCTTTTTATGTTAGGCAACTTAAAAGCTTAAGCTATTAGATGAAGTTTCTAAATGGGTTTTCATTCTCTAACACGCCTCTTTATGTAAAAGCTCATCAGGTTTGAAGTTTGGACAAGCATAGACTCATACGTATCTTATGCTAAAATTTAATTGATTATAATGGGGGTGATAGGAATGGAATAATAAACTACTTCGTCAAACAGACTCTAATACCATGTCAAAGAACTGTATTAATTAGGTGAGGTCCTGAGTTGGCATCAGTGAATTTCAATACTAAGTTCATTAGAGTCTTTATGGCTAAAATGGCATTTAATTAACCAATGGATTTACATATTATAACTAAAGGAAAGGGACAAACAAAAAGTAATTCATATAGCTGACCCCACATGGTTGGGATAAGGGGCTTAGATGATGATGATGATGATATACATAAGTTAACATTGATTAAGTCTTGGCAATTCTGAAAACCCAAAATTATCCTACATTAGCATTTTACTTTATTTTGGAAAATGAATAGAATTGCAACTTAAAAAATTTTCTAGCTTGTATAATGATGCTGAACACTGGGCAATGATAAGGGGATTAAGGCTGCATTTGGCATTCCTTATTTTAAGGGTTTATCTCTTTTTTACACTTAAAATGCTCTTATGAACAATGAGGTTCTAACTACAAAAAGGAGATAAGCCCTTGAAATGAAGAATGCCAAATGCAGCCTAAGACAAGCTTGTGAGTTAGTGTTTAGGAAGATATAGACTTACATGATCAGTTGCAGGACTATAGTAGAAGTAAAAGTTGTTGGATTTTAATCTCATAAGAGATTAAATTCAATGGGTTTGATTGGTCAATTATATGAGAAATTGCACCTACACACTTGATTGAAAAATCAGTTTTTCTCTTACAAAACCCAATTTTGAACTTGTCCCACATTGGAAAATTATAAGTTTTGTTTTCAGTATTTCAATAGGAGATGATTTACACTCCTTAGAATTAGTAGATGAGAGTATGGGGATTCGATACCACGCACACGCGTGTGCGCGCGTGTGTGCGGCGCAATGAGGCGCTTTAGAGGCGCATTTTGTTGCTCCCACTTTGCTCGCACCCGCGTGGCTCGTGATGGGCGGCTTTGGTTTTGGTGCGTTGTTGACCGTTGATCACCGTTGATGAGATCAACGGTTACGATTCGATCAGGTGTGATCAAGAGGCACAATTCAAAGTTAACAGTCATTAACTGTTAACTACTTTTTAAACAGTCACAATGTTTGAAATTGTGACTGTTCAAGGTGTCTTCTCTAGACCAGCACCTACATTTTCTTCATACCTCTTCACAAATTATTTAAGGAGCATGAATCAGACTCCAAAAATACAATTTCGAAATTCTCTCTCTCTCTCTCTCAGTCTGGTCTGCTACAGTCTCACAGAAGGTTTCTTTGGAGACTCTTCAACTTTGCTGGTTGCAGATTCTCGCCCAAGGCTCTGTTGTATCCTAGGAACGAATTTTCCTGTAACCCAACAGCAAACTCAGTAAAACTGAGTGAAGGCAAATAACGTTTCAAAGACAATGTCTTCAGACGTGCCTCAGAACTTTTCCTCCAAAGTTACAATGACCCCATTTTCTCCAACAAAATTATTGACAAAATCTAAACTTGGTGCATGTACAGCATTAGCATAATCAAACAGCACACTCACTGGTTATGGCAATGTTTTGCTATTGTGCTCTCAAGCACCAAAGTAAAGCTATTGTGCTCAAGTTGTATGTTATTTCCTTTTTGGTTGCTAATAAAATATTTCATATTTTGCCTAAAAAAATCTCTAACTTGTTAAATCAGCTTTGGTTTGAATAGAGTCTTAACTTTTTTAAGGAGAAAATTGCCACTACACAAAGTGGGGCTACTGGGCCCTGCAAAACTGGAAATCAAATTAATGAAGAGAATGCACACGCAAGAAAGAAAGAGAGAGATGGCACATAGAAAACTATGAACGATGAACCAATTTAACAACTACTATGCATATAATGAGAGATGGCAGACATCACTTAACAGTTTAAGCTTTCTTTTTATGTTGAATAGTTCTTTGAGATGCTATCAAATCCTATTTGACCAAGTGGCCGTAATCTCTCATTGCCCTCATTACAATTAATTAAATTTCAGTACAAAATTAGGGTGGGATTTGTGTTTATATATCCACTCTTCAAACCCAATAGGTCCTCGTGTGAGAGGGCATGCTGCTTTATACATTTGGGCAGTACTGGATCGAGATCCAAATCACCTTTCTAAAGATTGGATTTAAATGAAAATATTAATGAAAAATGACTTCCACATGCATTACTAGCTAGATAGATGATGAGTGGAAATGTTTGGAGAGTAAAGATGCTTGGCCTTAAATATATTTGAGCTTGACTTACTAACTACCAAGCAATTAATGAAGAGCATTACCAAATGGAAAAAACAATGATCTAAACTTCACTAGGTAGATCATGTCCTTTTAAACAAATATTTTATCCTTGTTAGAGAACAATAACTTATTTAGAGAGGCCTCTCCTAAAAGCTCAAGATTTTTGGTCGATGGAAAGCTCTTTTTGATATGGTGTTCTACGAGAAAATTTATTCATTTTTTAAGAATTATGAGAAAAAAAAAAACACAATGTAAATGTTTCATTTTACCATCACAATTATCTCTCTCCCGTGCAATCAACAGCTTGATTTGTTTCCTTATATACATTTGATTATCTAATCTCCACCCTTGCTCCCCTGTAGCAGTCCAAGCTTCCGCTACAGTTGTTCAAGTGTCCTGTTTGGCAGAACTTCTGTGGCGATTGATTGAACCAAAGTTTTAGAAAATATCTGGAAATGGAATTGTTCTGACCACCAGTT